CCCCCCCCCCCCCCGCTCCTCCATCAGCGACGAAAACCCGGTTATGCTGCACTTCTTCGCATAAGCGGAAATTATTTTCGCTCATATCTTAGTATTTCCCGCGTGTGCCATTAGAGGTGTAGCATACCAATGAAAATTCTCCTACTACTGTCTAAACATATCACTGTGGCAATGAATGACAACGGCGTGCTAAAATATACATTCCGATGAAGCCTTTCGAATTATTTTGCTTCAAGGACCTTCAATAAACTTTGCGGCGTTATTATTTTTTCTTAGTGGCATAAACAGGCAGTGTATTTTTGAACTCAATTCGATTGCATGACCGAAAATACCTTGAATGGTGGACTAAACAGGCTGATCTAAACTGTCGAAATAGCATATTGTTCTTAGATTCTCTGCATTACGTCATGAAAGTTATGTAGCACTACCTTATTTTACATCGTAGGAGAATTTTCATTGGTATGCTGCACCTCTATGGCAAAGCGAGGAATACTAAGATATGGGCGAAAATAATTTCTACCCAAGCGCCAAATGCTGCAACTAAGCCAACAACATTAGAAAAATCGTCATATTCCCCTCAATCTCAGAAGCTCCCCCTATGGGAACATCTCTCGGAGACGCCAGTCCCGAGTGATACGGCTAAACACGCCGCACAAAAAGACAACCTGGCGGCAGGTACAAGAGCGTAAAGGAGTCGAGTTTATCTTCCCACAGACTTCTGCAGAGACTTGGAAATACTGTCTTGTAGCTAAGCATATTTTCTTGAAAAGAAGCAAGTTTAACCTTCTTATCTAGGGGCATCAAAAACGCAGTGTAAGTATAATCTATGATACACCCTTGAAAAACCGACGCTTGCGTGGGAAAAAGGGTCGACTTCCCAAAGCCAAAGAAATAGCCAAGACCGATGAGTGAGACGGGAGCGGACCGGCCCAACTGGAGGGCTCCCCTTCCAGTTACACCATGAATGATCAGATCTGACGGAATCTCGTGCGTTTTAACCGAATTTTAAACAGTGCCTAAAAGCTAAGCGAAATAATTGGATCCAGGCCTATAAAACTAATAACAAATGGCAAACGCTAAATAAATCTGGAACGTAGAAAATAGCCCAGGCAGCTAAGCCATAGAACCGCGGATGACTAATTCCAAATAACAGCATGAAAGCGGCCGTCTTCCGTTTAAGAGCCCCCAAGCCGGTGTACATCGCGCACTGATATTTGTAAAACAAAACAGAACAGAGATGCCATGACCATGAATTCTAAATTCAAACCGGGAAAATAAAAGATAAAAGCACGTGCCGTGCGTACTGGCAATGGAAAGCTTACCACTTTAACATCGCTTTAAAATGCCAAGAGAATAAAAGACGAGAAAAAAAAAGGGCCCGAGGAAATAAAATTAAAAAAAACTTACCGTTTTACTTCCATAACATTGACGAACAAACAAAGAAATAGGGAAGAAAATTTCCGAATACTGGAGCTAGTTGCGGAAAAGAAAATGTAAGCAACAACGAACGAGAGGAAAGACGCGACAAACTACAGGATGCGCGAAGGAGTATGCATACTGAAAAAACACGGACTGCAAAGTATGTAGAAAATGTGAAATACAAGACCCAAATGACGCGCCGCACATGAGGACAAAGGAGGCAACACACCATGAAAAACGATCACAAAAGGAAGGAGCAACATACTGAATAAATAAGAGCAGAAGATGCCGAATACTAGACTTAAAGTGACACACACTACGAAAACTAAATTAGGAGCAGAAAATACCATAAACAAACCAGCCTGAAAGGGATACGCGCTATAAAGGCTGAGGAAACCTAAGAGCGACACCCGCGACAAAAATAAAAAAATAATAAAATAAATGAGGGAAAAGCACGTTATAAAAACTAGTCTGAAAACGTCTAAAGCTAGAAATGCCGGTAACCTTAACGCGACACACGCCATGATAACAACTTGAAGGTGGTACATGCCATGGCCATGAAAACAAGATGTAAGCGACACGCCCTATTAACACTAAATGGAGAACAAAATATGAAATACACCATGAAACTAGAGTGAAAGCGACACACGCCAGAAATTGCTGACTGGAGGCGAAACACGCCATAAAAACAGCCTAAAGGCGGCAAACGCTGTGAAAACAACCTAAAGGCGACACACGCCATGAAGACAACCTATAAGCGACACACGCTGTAAACACAAAATGGAGAGCAAAATACGAAAGCCACCATGAAACTAGTGAAAGCGACTCACGCCAGAAATGGCTAACTGGAAGGTGACACACGCCGAGAAAAACCAACGTGAAGGCGACACATGCCATAACAACTGAAAGCGACGTACGGTGTGGAACAAGTCGAAGCGACACACGCTAAGAAAATGAAATGGAAAATGAAACCAGCCATGAAATCCAGACTGAAAGCGACCCACGCTATAAAAGGTTACTCGAAGGAGGTATCGCAGCCGGGCGAACGGCTTCCAGAACATAAGGAAGGATAGCGACAGGAACTTCGGCCATGCTCAGCGACGAAAGTCGGAACGGCACAAAACACGCAAGTATATACGCCCTCTCGGGGGCATGAACGCATAGAAAAGCGATCTGATCAGTGATCCTGATGTTGGCAACGCATTTGAATACTACGCTCAATACCCAGGCGCAATGCAAGGGTCCGAGGAGGGAAAACGTGGTGAGTTATGGGGCCCGTGTGCCCATTTCAGAGCAAACATATCAATGAAAATAGTTGGCCCCGGGAAGGAGGGGGGGGGGGGGTTTAGGATGGGGGAGGAGTCGCCGAGCCCTTCAAACTCTAACCCTGTTTAAGACAAAAAATTGTTTATTTTGCTACCCTGTTAAAGACAAGAGACCTAATTTCACACCTCTGATTCACTTCGTTTTACACAAGGAATTTAGAGGTGCTTTTTAAATTAACATCATGAAATTAGAGTTTTTTTT